TGTATGTATGTATGTATGTATGTATGTTGTCTATTTTATTTGTTTGCCACAAAATACACTACAAGTAAAGTTATATGGCCTGCTTAGTGCCTACTGAGTATAGCGTTAGCCACTGCAAAGCATAAATAAACCAGTTTTACTGGGACAGTATTATTGACTAAATCGAATCAATGTAAGAATTGATTTTACGTGGGTAGAGTGATGATGGCATTCTTATATTACATAGTGGGCACGTTCAGGGCACGTTCACACAGGCGTTCTTTGACCTACAGTAACTTCTCTTACTTCCAGAGTGTCCAGTGCTTTCTTCATCCATATCAAATGGCGACGTCCATGGTTCAGGTCATGTCCAAGGCTCGCGTTGGAGGTTTAGCTGTCACCATGGCTATGCTCTGGTTGGCCACGACATTTTACAGTGTACTGAGCAGGGAGTTTGGAATGCTAGTGTTCCTACATGTCTGAGAGGTAACAGATAGCAGGCTGAACAGCCGTAATTACCTACAACGCTCCAGGATTACGTCACCTTCTTCTTAATTGTCATTGTTAAAATGGTGCTTTTTATTAGAGGCTACAGAAACAATTTCTGATCTTGAGGCACGCTGACCTGGGTATCGGGTTGGAAAACCAGAGGTAAAGAGATCTGACTACTTCACAACCCATTCACTGTCGGTTCTCAGGGCCTCAGCGCCCACGTGTTGTACAAATTGGTGCTTCGCATTTCATAGAAGAAAAGCATTTGATATGTCTGATATGAAATCTAAAACATGTAGGATAACTGGCTCTATTTTGCAGTCCGAATACGGCAACGACGCTCTACAATTTTCAATTTCCTGCTTTCACTTTGGTCAAGTTTATTAACCTCCCAGCTTTCTATGCATCATCTAACCAGATTTTTTTTTCCTGCAGAGTGTCCCCTCCTTCCTTCATCCATTGCAAATGGCTTTGTCAATGGAAGGGGCTCGGTGGAGGGATCACAGTACCAGTTCAGCTGCAAACCGGGATATTCACTTGTAGGGACAAACACATTGTACTGCAGCGACCAGGGAAACTGGAATGGCTCGGTTCCAAGCTGTCTCATAGGTTGGTCATTTGGTTTAGTAACTAGATTGATGGGATATATTTTGCATGACTCCTTCACCCACTGTATTGTCCTCATTTAACACATAGCCTGTTAACAGGCTGCAACTGAAAGGGTTCGACCGCGGCTGAGAGGGTTCAACTCTAGCTGAGAGTGAAATCACCGAGGGGGAATGGGGTGCGGGTTCGGGCGAGTCCCCTCCTTTGTCTTCATCCTCTTTCTTCCCTTTGTTTTCACCCCATCCTCGACTAAAAAGCCTGTTAAAAAGCTATTTAACACACTGATCCTAGACCTTTCACCTGATGGTAAATCCTCTCAGCAAATGGCGCTCCGTCCCATACGTCAGATGTCCTGTTTAATATATGTAAAACGACTTTTTTTGTCTTAAATTTAAGTGACCCCTAGCAAGGGGGATATCTTTCAAGAGATGAGCTGTTTATTAACTTAAAATTGTCTAAGATTTATTTAACGCCTTGGGGAGTTCGTGAAGCTGATATTTGAAGCGTTAACAATAATGCGCATGTTGGAGAACATCCGTTAGCTCTTGGTCAGAGTAAATTGCTTTTCTTATGGAGGGCTGAAACTCAAAACATTAGCTTCACAGACTCGCTAGGTAAGTGTTACACTCGCCCGCCAACGCTGCGCAATAACATGGTTCCATGAGAAGATTAATATATCAATGCAATCCTCCGTAGGAAAATGATGGCGGCTGTACATTTTACCACAATACCATACGACCCTTACACAGCTCATAAAGTACGAGGAAAACCTTATTGTTGCAGTACTTGTCCCTCTGCTAACGACACTGTGTATGCTAGGTTTGAAGGTCTTAGAACTTTTCTGTGCGTTTCTTATGAGCGTTTGAAAGGTTTTCGTGCGCTACAAATTATGGTTAAGTGTCCCAGTCGCCGCGGTTTTTTCCTACTGAGGATTCATAATTCTCGGAAATATATGTTGCATTTGTGAGCAACTTATAGGAATAAGCATTACTTTGATTTAAAATGGAACAGAGGAATTCTCCCCGGCCGAACGAGACTTTTTTGAGCACTTTGAAGAGGAGCAAGTTATAGTGCAATGATCATACTTGTTGTACTCTTAGTATAGGCCGATATAAGCTTGCTAAATTTAGAGATAACTTTGCTGGACGTGAACCCGGCAGACTGGACGATTCTTAAGCAAAAGACATAGTCAACCCAGATTTGCAAAAAAGTGTAAGCCTAATAATATTATGATAGTCACATTCTGTCCTCTTTTAAGAGACACCTTTTAGTTGACGAAGAAGTTGATGGATCCATCCTTAACCATTTTGGTGTGATCTATAATGATATATATTTTTAACTCTTTTTTTCCTTTAGAATGTCCGCAGCTGTCTTCCTCAATACCAAATGGCCATGCTAATGGCACAGGCTCGTTACATGGCGCCCTCTTCGTGTTCAGTTGCCAGCAGGGTTATTCTCTTATTGGACAGAAAAATTTGCTGTGTACTGAAGATGGAAACTGGAATGCCAGCGTTCCAAAATGTCTTAAAGGTATATGTGATTCACGGAGTGAACGTGATTAAAGGGTAGAGACAGGTCCATAGCAAGTGCTACAGTTTGGGAAATTTTACTCGAGTATTTTGTATTTCACAAACAAAATCTCTGAATCACGAGATGTCGGCTTCGTTGAGTTTAGTATTGCCTAGGAAAATCGAATTGAAACCGAGAGTTTTGCTTTTCAAACATTTAATCACTTATAGTTCCTGTACGCAGACAGATAACAGGGTTATATTTGGGTGATGCATGTGACTAAATGTAACTTAGACAAAGTTTTACTCGGGCCAGTGCTGGTCAGCGGCTTTTCAAGGGGGCCTTGGTCTTTGGGATCTCATAAGGGGAGTTTGCGTTCCAGCTGTGTACTAGAGCGTTTATTTATTTATTTATTTATTTACGTATTTATTTATTTATTTACTTATTTATTTATTTAACTTCGCCTAACCAAAATACTTATATGCATAAAGTTTTTATTGACCACGACAGCTTACAGCCAATTGCAGTGGATCCCTCGGTAATAAAAATTAAACTAAAGCTACTCATATATAAACAAGAAAAATTTAAGGCAAACAAAACAATTTCAAATTGCTAGAAACAGCACGACGGCGGGCACAGAAGAGTCCTCGCTATGTTGCACCAGGGACAGAATGTTCTCCAGGTTCTTATGTCGTCAACGTCCTGCAGATCTAGAGGCCTATTATAATAGTTCAGTTGCTTTGAGTGCCATTTGTACTTTTGGCGTGCTTTCTTTCCCTCACCGCTTCGGCCCTTTCGCTGGTGACGGTAATTATATAGGTTAGTACGTTTTTCCACTGTTTCTGTCAGTGTGACTGTTCCAGGTGGAGGCCACTCTTAGGTTTGCCATGGATACCTGCGTGATCAGCTCGTGGCTCGTATTTCGCAAGCTCAACGATTGATGATGAGGGACACTTATCTTTACCTAGTTATTAATTCCATTGACACTACCCTCTAAAGGAATGATCTGTTGTGCAATGCTTTATTATGCAAACCAATCAATGAAGTGCCGGTTTTCTAGGCTTTTCGTGTATTTCGATCTTAATCCTTGTACTTTGTCTCCGTATGAATTTTGTTTTTTCAGATTGTCCCAGCCTCCCTTCGTTCATATCACATGGATTCGGCAACGGGACTGGTTCAGTGGAAGGTTCTCGACATCGCTTCAGTTGTGACGAAGGATATTCACTCGTTGGACAACACACGCTGTACTGTGACAAGGATGGGTTATGGAATGGTTCGGTACCCACATGTCTCATAGGTATTGTTGTCGCACTTGTAGATAAGGGTAGCTATCTAGCAGAAATGAGATTACGAGCGGATAATTGTAAGTTTCACATGCTGAGATGATGGTACTAGAAACTGCATAATCACAGTCTATTACGTTAAAGGTGTAAGGGTGTAGACGTCACTTAGCAACACGACACATTCAATCCCGTACTGTGTAAGAACCTAATGTATCATCTTCATTACTGTTCATCACGATCAGATCAGATCAGATCAGAGCCATTCAGTGTCGCATACAACAAACTTTCAAAGTTGACGATCTTTTTTTTATGATCTGCTGTCCTTGTTTGGGTGGTCAGAGAAAACCGAAGACGAATTCAAAAGGTCGTTTATTAAAATTGTTGTCTTCTTCATTTAGAATGTCCACAACTGCCTTCCACAATACAACACGGTAATATTAAGGGTTTAGGTCGCGTGGAAGGCTCGCTACACAGATTCACTTGCGACGATGGTTATTCCCTTGTGGGACAAGATGTTCTGTATTGTAATGAGATGGGTCAGTGGAACGCCAGTGCTCCTAGATGTCTCAGAGGTAACACAAAATACTAACTGAATTAAAAGATTTCTATTGTACATGTTATTTTCTAAGTGCTTTGGAATATTTTTGTTATGTCATTGGCTGATAGTCTCATCCTAACCCAGTCCGCAAAGCAAGTGCAGATGATGTTGATAAAGTACTGAACAGAAAGAGTCTGCAGCTTTCGTCTTGAAGTTGCGAGACAACTGATCACGCCTTAAGAACTTGACAAATTTCGGAGTTATCCCAAGTGGTCGCGCTATTTTTTGATTGATAACTAGATTCGAAGTTTTAAGAATGCGTTACGAGGATTTCTCCAAAACGGGTGAACTTTTCCAAGCACCTGAACTAGTCTGCTCTGGATACGCTGCAGTAGTAGACAGGGGGGACTTTATTTGTAAATTGTGATTATTTCATGGTTCAAGATTCTTTGCAATAAAACCGTATAGATCTGTGAATTATTATATTTGCCGAAGGCTTAGTATTAACCTTGAACTATGTACTATTATATTCCCTTAAAAGGCTGTAGGTAAAAGCCATGAGAGTTAATAGACCTACATGTGTTGATCTTTTAGAGTGTCCCAGTCTACCGTCAGTCATAGCACATGGTTTCGTCAATGGTAGTGGCTCACTGGAAGGTGCTGGTTATGAGTTCAGCTGTGAAAGAGGTTACTCGCTTATCGGGGTCAGTCGGGTAGTTTGCACAGATGCCGGAGTGTGGAATGGCTCCCTTCCTACTTGTCTAATAGGTGAAAAAAAAAAAACGATATTCACCTTTACAAAGATGTTGTAAATTTGATTCCAGCCACACAGCGTCTTAACAAGGACATAACATACGTGGGTAGATCAAACTCGAAAATGTTAGGAATCCCCAGCCAACCATTAGGAATTTAAGGCTGTGGTTTTTAACCCCTAACACACTGCGTTTAGATACACAATCATTACATTCTTCGGTCCCAATCAAAAGCCTTTTACACTATCCATAATTTACGGGTGATGTAGCAGCTCTCGTAAGGTCTCACATGAATGGCTTGCTACCCCTTGAGAGAACAATAGAACAAACAACAGAAACAATGCCCCTAGCCCTAAAACAATAACAGCTGCTAACAATGAAGAGAATTACAAGCTTACGAGAGCTGCTGTAGTTTACGCCAAAAGTATGTCACTTCCCCTTCGCCAATAAGAATTTAAAGTCCTTTTCTTTATGGTATAACTATTTGTTTAAAGAACTACATGGTTACGCCTCGCAAATGACGCACCGATTTCCATCAAGTGTTTGATAGCAATAATACATACATAACTTTCCTTGCCCAACCGGGAGAACTCCAACATATCTATCTTTTCACGAACTAGTTCTTTTTCCTTATTACGCAATAGCGTATACTAAATAAATATCACATCTTCCCCTAGAATGTCCAGTCCTTCCTCTGTCTATACGACATGGTGACGTCAATGCTTCGGGATCAATACAAGGCTCTGTGTACACATTCACGTGCAGGCCTGGTTACTCCCTAATGGGTGAACAAAACTTGTACTGTACTGAAGAAGGAAGGTGGAACGCCAGCGTCCCCAGCTGCCTTAAAGGTAATGGTACCGAGTACCATGGATCCACTTGGACCCGTCCGTGCGAACCTGACCTGAGTAACACATTGAAATTACTTATACTTTTCTCGGGCCTCTGGTTCCTCAAGAATCGCTTATTAGAACCTTAAGCAACAGTTACAGAAGCTATGAATCATTTAACTTAGTGAAGCTACAATCTTAATCTCGTAGTGTACTTCCAAAACAAAGTTAATAACTCAATTGTCACATCAGTATAAAACGCTTCCTTGCATTAACGTAGTCTTTATTGTGAGAAGTCAGAGGACTTCACATTATTGTGGTCTCCGAACCTGTTCTCGAGTGCTTCTCTTGTCCTGATTAATGCATGCTTGGCCGTCATCAGACTGTCCTGTCCTTCCCTCGTCCATACCAAATGGCTTCGTAAATGGAAATGGCTCCGTGGAAGGATCTCTGTACCAGTTTAGCTGTATACAAGGATATTCGCTTGTTGGAAGAGATACACTGTTCTGTAATCACAAGGGAGCATGGAGTGGCTCTGTACCAAAATGCCTAAAAGGTAATTCCACAGCTGTTTACAAGCATTAACAAAGGCGAACCTACTTTATCGAGGGCGTTTCAGCAGAAGGACGCCAAAAATGTGCATTACGCACATGTGCGTGTGAAAAGAGAAGAGAGGATTTTTGCTTTTTTGGAAACAAAGGCGATGCTGTTATGTTGATAAGCACTGCATAAAAACTAAAAATCAACTTTTTTCTCTATTTAGATTGCCCCCCTCTGGCTGGTAGCATTGATAATGGTTACAAACATGGCAGTGGCACAGTGGAAGGCTCTTTGGCTTGGTTTAGCTGTAAGGACGGTTATTCTCTTGTCGGAAATCAATATTTATACTGTAACGAGAAAGGACATTGGAATGGCACAACGCCAAGTTGCTTGAAAGGTACAGTTAATTCAGGAAGGCTTTCGTTACTAGTTCTGATATTTTGATCTGCGTAACGTAAATATTTAATAATACTTGCAGGGTGGACAATTTAAGTCAATTTTTCTCCACTCGACAAAGACAAAGCGACACAAGCTTAACGCTAAATAAGTTTATTTTGGGAAGGTCTAGTGCGAACCAAACCCGAACCCTGTACACAGCAATCCTCGCTTAAACCTACTGACAACAATTCTTCTCCTATACAACTGGCAATTTACATTTGCTGTTGCTTTTATAATAAATAGAAACTTAATAACAAAAGTGCCATTACTGGTCAATCTTGACCTAATCCGCAAGTGAGCACGCAAGCTTAATGTCAGTTAGGCTGGGAAACTACAACTCAGAGGTAACAACTCAAACATCACGGCTCAGTCACTTAATTCCCCAGCTTGGGATCAACAAATGTGACATTTCGAGTCAACCTTGTTCCGGGTCGTTCGAGACCTTTGCAGGGAATATACATAGAAACTAAATACCCTAGCCCAAATTAAGGTCTGCAAAAAAAAACATAATTACGAACAGACTACGTAAACCTTTCAACTGTGTATCTGGATACAAGTAAGGAACGAATTACGACGCTGAACTAGCAGAGCTGAGCTACCGCTTACAACTGAAACAAATGCGGCCAGACAGAAGCCAGAAAGAAACTTGCGAAAAAAACCCAGTAGGGACCAAAAGTCAGGGAATCTGAGCAGGAACTAGGCTAAAGCTCTGAGCGATTAAAAAGCCCATCCTACGAGGCGTTGCAATAGTGAAACCCGGCCGATCTTTGCAAAGAATGGCATCTGAAAAAAAATTGTAGACAAAGAAAAAAAAAATTATGCGAAACAAACTGTGAAAGAATTCAAACGCGGTTGGTTGTGAGGCCTAGATGACCACCATGATGCTCCTGCCTGGTACCCAGGGCCCTTTTTGTTCCTCGTACCGACAAAATAGTTATTTCGGCCTCATTCGTGTGCTCTTTGATCAGAAATAATGTTGACTCCTGAAGGTGGGACAGCAACTGGGGAAATATTTTTGCTTATTTTTGCAACTGCGTAAGCAATGTGGAGACTGTCTAAAGCATTTCATAAACTGCAACGGTAGTTATTCCATTGTGCGACACAAGCATGCAACCCCGCTCATATTTGCCAAAATTTTGTCAGTGATGCTATAATATTGAATCAATAATAAACACTCTGCAGCTAGTTATATCATTTTCTTTTAAACTTCAAGACTGTCCGCCAATTAACCTTACCTTCGAACACGGATTGATCAGTGGCAATAGATCCACATCAGGTGCAGCTTACAGCTTCTCCTGTGATGACGGGTACAGTATCAATGGGCAAGTCACGTTGATCTGTAATGAGTACGGACAGTGGAATGGCAGCATCCCCGTGTGCTCAAGAGGTAAATTGAATTTTCAGTATAAACTCTGTTTTTAATCAACTTGGTGTTGATAAACTAGACTCTCCGCCATTTTAGCTGCTGACGAACATTAGTACCTCGTCGAAGCAGGGTAGGGCAAAGGTCTGCCCCTTTGGGTGTTCATGTCACCAAACGTTCCCAATTGTTTCATACTGTCTTACCAGAAGTTTCCAGTGGCTTGATGTAATATATCAAAGTAACACGAAAGACCTCGTTGGACCACATTTCCAAACTTAAACTAAGGAGAAAAAGGAGAAATAAAACGTAAAAATCTATGCGAATTAAGATCAGATTTCCAAACACTGTCACGGTCATGATTTCCATTGGTTAAAAATTAAACTTGTTGAATTATTAATCAATTTGAGAAAGCTCATGATCAGTTGCTGAGGGAAAGCGTTTACATTAGCAGCCAATATTGCGGGTTCGAATCCTGTTGAATCTTAAATTTTTTAAGGCTTTCTTTCGGTCTACAACTTTTGAATTACTAAAAGAACTATGAAGATATCTTTTACTCAAAATCTAACCCCTTGTTAAGGTTTACAAATTTGATTCATTTTTTTATGCTCATTATCTGAAAGATTCCACTTTGAACCAGTCCTTACAGGTAAAAAGGAGACCCGAAAGGCCTGGTACGTCTACGCAGCTTCTGGTGCTGGGAGCCTGTTGTTCCTTCTTATTCTGGCAAGCCTTTTGGTATTACTATGGCGTCGAAGAAGGTCAAGCGAGAAACGCTCGGAAATCCCGGGCACTGATGAAACAGAGATGAAAACGATGGTGACATCGCCGAAAAAGACTCAAGTCAATTGTGATTACTCGCTTGTCAGTGAAGGCTCTAAAGCCCCACCCACTGTGGTGTGATACAAAATCATCCACATGCTACTGGAGGTTAAGAAAAGTAGGACATGTGGTAATGTGGCTTGTATGTGGGACGCGGGAAATCTGGAAGATCCTGATGGAGCGGACATCCGCCAAAAATTATTTTATGCCGACCCCAAGAAGCCTAGCGAAAACAAACGAGTGTGTAGGAGGACATGGAAATGATCACGCGATTTTGAATGTGAAACCTTGAGACCTGCAATTATTTCACAGTGTAATTTATTAAGCTACTAATTTAATCTAAGAAATCTGCACAAAATGTATTACTTTATATTACCAGTCAGTATTATCGCAGCTGGAAGCCACCGTTCAAAAAGAGAAACTTATGATAGAATAGTACTTAAAAGAAAGACCTACAGGGTTTTTATGCAGGTGTAGAACATTCGATCTGTTAAATTGTGGATCAGCACGCAATAGCTTCATCTAAAGCTCAGTTGGTAGTGGATTTCCACTGGTAGTTTGGGTTTAAATGCTGTTGAAATGTCAGCTGTCATCCTTGAAGAAGTCTTTTCCGGCGTAATCCGAATGTTTATCAAATATTTTCTGTTGAAAAAGAACGTAACCAAAGATTTCACGCAATTTTCGAACGATCAAAGCAGAAACCAGATCATACGAAATAATAAGACTAACATGTTCAACTTCTTTCTCAGTATTAAACGTAAATCTGTTTGACTTCCTCCGGTTTCACCCACCAAGTAGAAAACACGTTCAGAGTGGGAAACGATATCCCTTATCGCTCATTAAGGCTTCCTTCGCTTTAGGGATGACATGCGTCACTACACTTAGATATAGATCGTATACCCGGGTTCATTAATAGTTTGATTCCGATTGGCAAGCGTTCTTGGTCCAAAAATGATTAATTTACCATTGCTTTCATTGTGGAGAAGATAACGCGATACTCTATCTGTCAATGTGCCAAGAAATACATTAGCTTTCCAATATCAGCCATTAGTAACTTCAAATATATTAATATTAATTTTTTCTCGATCTGCTTTGCGAAAAACACCCACACCACCTTCCAAACGTTCTTCAAAGCACAGCTTCAACTTTATTTAACTTTTTTTAGCTCGAGTTTCAGTCTGGCAAGCAATGTTCGAATAACCGCTTACAGTGACTGTCATCAATTTTCTGTCAAAACAGTCACTGCCAGAATCAGTACGCTTTCGATAGCGTGCGAATTAATGTAGACATTTCATTTTTTCAGTTGGCTTATTTGTTTGATTTTAGACAATAAAGATTAATGTACCTGAGAACACACTTGTCACTCACTGCCTTTGGGGAATTTACTGTATGCTTGAATAGCATGAACTTCTCACATGAAAGAGGATGCATGTCAAAGAAGTGTGCTTTACATGTTTGCCTGTTTCCACTGGAGTTTCCCTGGAGTTTCCGCTTCCGCGAGAAAATTTTTTTTCTTGGGGCTTTGTTTTTAAATTTATTCCATGTCGTGGACAAAACAAGTTTAACTGTGCGTGCAACTAACCACGCCAAGTTAAGGCTCTGGCTTTCGTTGCAGAAAACGTGACTATTTTAAAGTTACAACAGTGTCTTGCTTGAACAAGTCAAGACCTGGTGCCTAAAAGTTATTTAGTTGAGCAAATAAACGTATTGAACATATGCATCTTCACAATTCGTAGGAAATTTACTTCTCTGAATATTCAAAATGAATCGGTTTTTTTTAATTGACAGCTGGCATTTCGTTAAACAAACATTGACATGTTCTCATGATTGGACGCAAGATCTCGAGATAAGAAGCACGCACGAAGGTAATTTACTAGCAGTTAACGAACTGGGAAGTCTTGATTCTTGATATCAAATGACAGTATAGAAGTTTAATCATTTAAACTGAAAATTCTCGCGATAAGCTTAGGTCAAACAAGTCCAAGATGAGCATGGTTGCCGAAGTCTGCAGGACACGGCTTAAGGAAGTTGCCAAAACGGTTCATCTTCAAGAACAATTCATGTCATGTCTTTGTGTATTTTACTTCGCATTTTCACCCGTGGCAATTTTCGGCAATCTTCTTGTAATTCGTGCCATTTGGAAAGCTTCGTCGATTCCCACTACCTTGAAGAAGTTACTCTTGAGCCTAGCCATCTCCGATCTTGCTGTTGGAGTGCTTCTACAACCGATGTACGGCATTATCATCGCGTTGCAGTTGAATATGGTAGACAGTCAGTTCCTGTGCCCTACTGTACTGACGGTACATATATTTATTACGGTTTTGCTGGCGGCAGCGTCTTTTCTAACCATCGCTGCTATTGCACTTGATAGACTTCTCGCCGTCTCGTTGCATTTGAGATATCAGGAACTTGTGACGCCCAAACGCGCTGAAACTGTCATGGTTCTTCTGTGGTTATCGGCTGCTGTTGGCGCTTCCTTGTTTATCTCTGTCTCCAGTCACAATGTCTTGGTAGCTGTTATTACTGAAGTTGTCGGGTTTGCTGTTACCACCGTTGCCTATTTCCGTATTTACAAAGTTGTGCGCTATCATCAAAATCAGATCCAAAGTCAATGTCAGGTCCAAAACGAACACGCAGTGGAAGAAGTCAGGGTGAAGAAGTCAGCCTTGAATACCTTGTACGTTTATGTTGTCTTCCTTGCTTGTTACCTTCCATTGTTATTTTCAAGTATTCTGCTGTTGGTGGATAACTTTAAAATATCATTCCTTGTGGCTTATAACGCCTCGGGCTTTTTAGTTTTCCTCAATTCTTCTTTAAATCCTTTCGTCTATTGCTGGAGATATCGCGAGATTCGTCAAATTGTGAAAAATACATTCAGGGGAAAATGCTTGCCCAATGAACCTCCTGATCTCACTTCAGATGGAATAAGGATGTAATTAAATACGACGGAAATCGAAATGTCGGATGTCAGTTTCAGGAAAACTACGAACACATTGTTCGCTACAAGTTGATTTCAGAATTCTTCCAAATCCGAGATCATCCTGATTTTCGCGAGCGTCTTTCAAGCGAAAGAAACCGAGTCTGAGAAGTATCTTCTCTGAAAACAGTAAAACGGCTTCCGTTTTCAAAAGTATAGTTCGAAACATGGAGCAGAACAACGAAAATTGAGGGTTCGCCTAATTATCATTTGTTATTGTAGCTATACTATTTATACACGGTATCTACTTAATACAGGTTCACATAGAAACATAATTATTCGCTAAAGGTGAAGTAAATGATGGTAAATATTTCACAATGACAACAGTGACACTTGATTCACCAGTTAACAAGGAATTTCTTAGCTTACCTTGTAGTCTCTAATTTCCTACTATTCCTACCCGAAAGAATTTTCTTCTGGACACTGATAGCAACCACAGTCAAGCGCAACGTGCCTGCGCAGTTCCCATCAAAACTGCCACTCACAAACTTCTCAACTTTTCGACAGTTTGAAGCCAAAAGTTAAGACAGTCACTTCTAAGTTAAGCTTTATGTGGGGTTTTACGAAACAATAGGCCGCTTCACAGGCTAGGTTTTTCACTAGCCGCTGGTCACTTTCTTCAATCTCTCCAGTTCCAATATTGCATGGATGACAATGCTCTTCTCGTCTGAGAGTGGTTTTGTTGGCATGACGCCATTTTGCGCGTGCACTTGACTCGAACGACCACCTGCTCACGCACACCGAGAAAGCAATTGTAGCACTTTGGAGTGATGAAAACAAAAATCAGTATTTGAGGAACGACGATATGGAAGAAAACTTATCTGAAATTACCTGGTTAAATTTTTGTGGCAGAAACGGAAGCAAGGTTCGAATTCGTGCCTTTTGAAACAAAACTGTTTCATTCCCAAAACTGAATCGAATTGAACGTGCATGGTGCTGTTCTTGAAGCGATAGCCTGAACTGCTGTCGAATCCCCGCCATAAGGCCATGTTTACACCTCACCACTCTCGGTAATCGTGGTACTACATTTGTATAGTTGTATAAATAAAATCTTTCCAGATCATGATTTATTTTAGCCGCTATTTGAATTTAGGATTTTTAATTTTGTGCCACTGTATAAATCAGTTAGATTAAAACTTAGTTTTTAATTAGATTTTTTAAATTCGGTCCCTGGTTTTAATTATAGCTGGTTAATGTGTACTGTGTAGTTTTGTGTCTTCGAAGGAGCTACTTCCATCAGACACATTGATAACTTATTGTTATGCCCCACACAGTGTCTAGAACCATTCAGTAAAACGTAACCATAGTGCATGAACTGCTGTCGTTGCTTAGCGCTCACCAAACATCCACAATTTAATCATCCATGTTATATTAAAACGAAACGTTAATAAATGCGGGCGTGCAATGCTTTGTTTAGCGACGTCGCTAAATTAAATTATTTCGCCCATTATATACAGCTGTTTCGAGAAAGGTCCTGCAGAAGGGCGGCGTTTTGTTTTTTTGGTTTCATGTATACGTTGCGATGAATATAAATACTTTTCGTGTTGTTAAGCAGAGTTTTTTTTTCACCTTCTCTCGGTTTAAGGATGTTACCGCAAAGAAGTTCTTGCGGAGGGAACAGCTTACCGCAAAGAAGTTTTTGCGGTTTTAATTTCAAACCGCAGAGAAGTTCTTACGCCTGCTTAATTTTAGCGCCAACGTCCCGAAGTTTCCGGCTTGCGGACGCAAGGAGGAAGTTCTTGCGCGTGCCTTATCTTTGGGCTGTGCTATACGTAATTATGCCGAAAAGTAAAATGACTAATGACAGTTACTGTTTTTTTGTTTTTGTTTTTTTTTTTGATTGGACGGAAACACACGGTGCTTGAAAGCGAAGCCATACATATGTCCCCTCCTTGTCCCCTTTGTGCATCTCCTAAAGCACACTCAATAGTAAAGCATCCAAACTTCGGCTTCAAATTTGGTTCAAAAACATCAAAATATAGAATACACGAACTGTAGCGAGTTTTGAACAAAAAATAACTCTTTCATTTCTAAAATCTAACTAAAATGTAGGCTATTTGATGAAACACCCTATAGGAATAGAAGGGCCTTCGAAAATTCAAGTCCCTTGACCAAGCTATTGACACACCAAAATGAAACGTTTGACGTGCCTACCACTTAGTGCTACTTTGGACAAGTGCATTCTCGCCCCCAGGTGCGGCGATCGTTTTGGTCAGCGCCAAGAATCGCGAATTCTGATTGGGTCCAACACCAGAAGTCCTTGATTCTTGAACTTCCCGTCAAATCTCACAACTCTGATTAGCTGCAACCTCGTACCCAGAGTCTTCGTTCCACCTGACCAGCGGTCGGGAAACGAGAGACCCTGAAGATCCGATTTGAAGTCTGAAAATATCGGACTTCCGTTAAATTGCAGTTGTCCAGCTGAAAAACACGTGGCTCAATCGAGGCGTTGGTGTTTTACTTCCGCTCATTTCCATTGTTTTTAAAACCAATCAAAATCGAGCCTGTTACGGGCTTGTCAAGAGTAGCTCGTTTCTTCAAGCTTGCGCAGTAAGAAACGAAGACTCGAGAAACGAGATTGGATGAGCTGAGAATACAAAACGAGTGCTTGCGCATGTTCATAAAATCAGGTCTGGCCAGAAGTCGCGATTCTTCGTGCAAACTAAAAGGATTGAGCCGGGAGAGCCAATTGAGCCGGTCAAGAGGGAAAACATTTTCACATATAAACACTCGATGTAAAAGATGGGTAGAGAGTGAATCGCCTAACAGGGACAACGCTTAGCCAAATGAATAAGCCCTTACGGGTTTCCTCAAAGAACAAATTTAGAAACGAAAATTTAAACTAAAGTCAAATGCAAATTTGATTTGTTCAGCTTTAATTAAGCAAACAACCCAGTACGTGATCTTTAATTAACGGCGTTCAATTTAGATGTTTATTTTGTTTTAATTCCGCTCGGAAGTGATTAATTCCGTGAAATTAAGTTTTATTTAACTATAATTAACAGACTTTTCATGATTAAAGCGTAACCGGTTTGTTATAAAATGTGACGTTTTCCTTGAGCTATGAGGTTGTTTTACTTCACTAAGCGGAAGGAAGAAGTAAGGAAGAAGGAAGTCGAGAAAAAAGGAACCAAAAACATTTTAACAGTAACAAGAACAGCAAAGCTAAAGCAAACATTTCTCCATGGCAGGTAATCATTTATTTAGGTCTATGTCAACTTACTAAGAGCACACAATATTGGTTTTCGATTCTATTCTTTCGAAATGTAACGATAACATGGAGGCGACCAAACAAAATCTCAAACAAACGAAAATATTGGTGACCTTCAACTTCAATTTTAGCATCGCAAAATTTCTACCGCTCTGTAAGTTGAAAATGTATTTATTTTCATTATGTAGATGAAATCCTTTTTCATGGTAGCCTTTAATTCGGAAGCTCTTGTGTTACCGTTTACTTTGTTTGTTTTTTTTTTCTTTACTTATAAAAAGAATAGGAACGGATATTAACAGAGTACTCTAGGGCCGTTGTGTAATTAAATAGTTTTTTGAAATATATAACAAAAGAGAAAAGCCTACGAACCTTGACATAATGCAAGGCGTTTACAATTTGAAAACTGAGAGTAAAAGTATGTATGTTGTCCAAGACTGTTTTAGTTGCCCATTTTTTGTTTAAATTTTTGTCTTATATGGCAGAGACTTTGTGAAATTTGCTGGCCATTCAATTTTATACTGAAATGCCCAAGCTGAGGTAGTTAACACATTGAAATTACTTATACTTTTCTCGGGCCTCTGGTTCCTCAAGAATCGCTTATTAGAACCTTAAGCAACAGTTACAGAAGCTATGAATCATTTAACTTAGTGAAGCTACAATCTTAATCTCGTAGTGTACTTCCAAAACAAAGTTAATAACTCAATTGTCACATCAGTATAAAACGCTTCCTTGCATTAACGTAGTCTTTATTGTGAGAAGTCAGAGGACTTCACATTATTGTGGTCTCCGAACCTGTTCTCGAGTGCTTCTCTTGTCCTGATTAATGCATGCTTGGCCGTCATCAGACTGTCCTGTCCTTCCCTCGTCCATACCAAATGGCTTCGTAAATGGAAATGGCTCCGTGGAAGGATCTCTGTACCAGTTTAGCTGTATACAAGGATATTCGCTTGTTGGAAGAGATACACTGTTCTGTAATCACAAGGGAGCATGGAGTGGCTCTGTACCAAAATGCCTAAAAGGTAATTCCACAGCTGTTTACAAGCATTAACAAAGGCGAACCTACTTTATCGAGGGCGTTTCAGCAGAAGGACGCCAAAAATGTGCATTACGCACATGTGCGTGTGAAAAGAGAAGAGAGGATTTTTGCTTTTTTGGAAACAAAGGCGATGCTGTTATGTTGATAAGCACTGCATAAAAACTAAAAATCAACTTTTTTCTCTATTTAGATTGCCCCCCTCTGGCTGGTAGCATTGATAATGGTTACAAACATGGCAGTGGCACAGTGGAAGGCTCTTTGGCTTGGTTTAGCTGTAAGGACGGTTATTCTCTTGTCGGAAATCAATATTTATACTGTAACGAGAAAGGACATTGGAATGGCACAACGCCAAGTTGCTTGAAAGGTACAGTTAATTCAGGAAGGCTTTCGTTACTAGTTCTGATATTTTGATCTGCGTAACGTAAATATTTAATAATACTTGCAGGGTGGACAATTTAAGTCAATTTTTCTCCACTCGACAAAGACAAAGCGACACAAGCTTAACGCTAAATAAGTTTATTTTGGGAAGGTCTAGTGCGAACCAAACCCGAACCCTGTACACAGCAATCCTCGCTTAAACCTACTGACAACAATTCTTCTCCTATACAACTGGCAATTTACATTTGCTGTTGCTTTTATAATAAATAGAAACTTAATAACAAAAGTGCCATTACTGGTCAATCTTGACCTAATCCGCAAGTGAGCACGCAAGCTTAATGTCAGTTAGGCTGGGAAACTACAACTCAGAGGTAACAACTCAAACATCACGGCTCAGTCACTTAATTCCCCAGCTTGGGATCAACAAATGTGACATTTCGAGTCAACCTTGTTCCGGGTCGTTCGAGACCTTTGCAGGGAATATACATAGAAACTAAATACCCTAGCCCAAATTAAGGTCTGCAAAAAAAAACATAATTACGAACAGACTACGTAAACCTTTCAACTGTGTATCTGGATACAAGTAAGGAACGAATTACGACGCTGAACTAGCAGAGCTGAGCTACCGCTTACAACTGAAACAAATGCGGCCAGACAGAAGCCAGAAAGAAACTTGCGAAAAAAACCCAGTAGGGACCAAAAGTCAGGGAATCTGAGCAGGAACTAGGCTAAAGCTCTGAGCGATTAAAAAGCCCATCCTACGAGGCGTTGCAATAGTGAAACCCGGCCGATCTTTGCAAAGAATGGCATCTGAAAAAAAATTGTAGACAAAGAAAAAAAAAATTATGCGAAACAAACTGTGAAAGAATTCAAACGCGGTTGGTTGTGAGGCCTAGATGACCACCATGATGCTCCTGCCTGGTACCCAGGGCCCTTTTTGTTCCTCGTACCGACAAAATAGTTATTTCGGCCTCATTCGTGTGCTCTTTGATCAGAAATAATGTTGACTCCTGAAGGTGGGACAGCAACTGGGGAAATATTTTTGCTTATTTTTGCAACTGCGTAAGCAATGTGGAGACTGTCTAAAGCATTTCATAAACTGCAACGGTAGTTATTCCATTGTGCGACACAAGCATGCAACCCCGCTCATATTTGCCAAAATTTTGTCAGTGATGCTATAATATTGAATCAATAATAAACACTCTGCAGCTAGTTATATCATTTTCTTTTAAACTTCAAGACTGTCCGCCAATTAACCTTACCTTCGAACACGGATTGATCAGTGGCAATAGATCCACATCAGGTGCAGCTTACAGCTTCTCCTGTGATGACGGGTACAGTATCAATGGGCAAGTCACGTTGATCTGTAATGAGTACGGACAGTGGAATGGCAGCATCCCCGTGTGCTCAAGAGGTAAATTGAATTTTCAGTATAAACTCTGTTTTTAATCAACTTGGTGTTGATAAACTAGACTCTCCGCCATTTTAGCTGCTGACGAACATTAGTACCTCGTCGAAGCAGGGTAGGGCAAAGGTCTGCCCCTTTGGGTGTTCATGTCACCAAACGTTCCCAATTGTTTCATACTGTCTTACCAGAAGTTTCCAGTGGCTTGATGTAATATATCAAAGTAACACGAAAGACCTCGTTGGACCACATTTCCAAACTTAAACTAAGGAGAAAAAGGAGAAATAAAACGTAAAAATCTATGCGAATTAAGATCAGATTTCCAAACACTGTCACGGTCATGATTTCCATTGGTTAAAAATTAAACTTGTTGAATTATTAATCAATTTGAGAAAGCTCATGATCAGTTGCTGAGGGAAAGCGTTTACATTAGCAGCCAATATTGCGGGTTCGAATCCTGTTGAATCTTAAATTTTTTAAGGCTTTCTTTCGGTCTACAACTTTTGAATTACTAAAAGAACTATGAAGATATCTTTTACTCAAAATCTAACCCCTTGTTAAGGTTTACAAATTTGATTCATTTTTTTATGCTCATTATCTGAAAGATTCCACTTTGAACCAGTCCTTACAGGTAAAAAGGAGACCCGAAAGGCCTGGTACGTCTACGCAGCTTCTGGTGCTGGGAGCCTGTTGTTCCTTCTTATTCTGGCAAGCCTTTTGGTATTACTATGGCGTCGAAGAAGGTCAAGCGAGAAACGCTCGGAAATCCCGGGCACTGATGAAACAGAGATGAAAACGATGGTGACATCGCCGAAAAAGACTCAAGTCAATTGTGATTACTCGCTTGTCAGTGAAGGCTCTAAAGCCCCACCCACTGTGGTGTGATACAAAATCATCCACATGCTACTGGAGGTTAAGAAAAGTAGGACATGTGGTAATGTGGCTTGTATGTGGGACGCGGGAAATCTGGAAGATCCTGATGGAGCGGACATCCGCCAAAAATTATTTTATGCCGACCCCAAGAAGCCTAGCGAAAACAAACGAGTGTGTAGGAGGACATGGAAATGATCACGCGATTTTGAATGTGAAACCTTGAGACCTGCAATTATTTCACAGTGTAATTTATTAAGCTACTAATTTAATCTAAGAAATCTGCACAAAATGTATTACTTTATATTACCAGTCAGTATTATCGCAGCTGGAAGCCACCGTTCAAAAAGAGAAACTTATGATAGAATAGTACTTAAAAGAAAGACCTACAGGGTTTTTATGCAGGTGTAGAACATTCGATCTGTTAAATTGTGGATCAGCACGCAATAGCTTCATCTAAAGCTCAGTTGGTAGTGGATTTCCACTGGTAGTTTGGGTTTAAATGCTGTTGAAATGTCAGCTGTCATCCTTGAAGAAGTCTTTTCCGGCGTAATCCGAATGTTTATCAAATATTTTCTGTTGAAAAAGAACGTAACCAAAGATTTCACGCAATTTTCGAACGATCAAAGCAGAAACCAGATCATACGAAATAATAAGACTAACATGTTCAACTTCTTTCTCAGTATTAAACGTAAATCTGTTTGACTTCCTCCGGTTTCACCCACCAAGTAGAAAACACGTTCAGAGTGGGAAACGATATCCCTTATCGCTCATTAAGGCTTCCTTCGCTTTAGGGATGACATGCGTCACTACACTTAGATATAGATCGTATACCCGGGTTCATTAATAGTTTGATTCCGATTGGCAAGCGTTCTTGGTCCAAAAATGATTAATTTACCATTGCTTTCATTGTGGAGAAGATAACGCGATACTCTATCTGTCAATGTGCCAAGAAATACATTAGCTTTCCAATATCAGCCATTAGTAACTTCAAATATATTAATATTAATTTTTTCTCGATCTGCTTTGCGAAAAACACCCACACCACCTTCCAAACGTTCTTCAAAGCACAGCTTCAACTTTATTTAACTTTTTTTAGCTCGAGTTTCAGTCTGGCAAGCAATGTTCGAATAACCGCTTACAGTGACTGTCATCAATTTTCTGTCAAAACAGTCACTGCCAGAATCAGTACGCTTTCGATAGCGTGCGAATTAATGTAGACATTTCATTTTTTCAGTTGGCTTATTTGTTTGATTTTAGACAATAAAGATTAATGTACCTGAGAACACACTTGTCACTCACTGCCTTTGGGGAATTTACTGTATGCTTGAATAGCATGAACTTCTCACATGAAAGAGGATGCATGTCAAAGAAGTGTGCTTTACATGTTTGCCTGTTTCCACTGGAGTTTCCCTGGAGTTTCCGCTTCCGCGAGAAAATTTTTTTTCTTGGGGCTTTGTTTTTAAATTTATTCCATGTCGTGGACAAAACAAGTTTAACTGTGCGTGCAACTAACCACGCCAAGTTAAGGCTCTGGCTTTCGTTGCAGAAAACGTGACTATTTTAAAGTTACAACAGTGTCTTGCTTGAACAAGTCAAGACCTGGTGCCTAAAAGTTATTTAGTTGAGCAAATAAACGTATTGAACATATGCATCTTCACAATTCGTAGGAAATTTACTTCTCTGAATATTCAAAATGAATCGGTTTTTTTTAATTGACAGCTGGCATTTCGTTAAACAAACATTGACATGTTCTCATGATTGGACGCAAGATCTCGAGATAAGAAGCACGCACGAAGGTAATTTACTAGCAGTTAACGAACTGGGAAGTCTTGATTCTTGATATCAAATGACAGTATAGAAGTTTAATCATTTAAACTGAAAATTCTCGCGATAAGCTTAGGTCAAACAAGTCCAAGATGAGCATGGTTGCCGAAGTCTGCAGGACACGGCTTAAGGAAGTTGCCAAAACGGTTCATCTTCAAGAACAATTCATGTCATGTCTTTGTGTATTTTACTTCGCATTTTCACCCGTGGCAATTTTCGGCAATCTTCTTGTAATTCGTGCCATTTGGAAAGCTTCGTCGATTCCCACTACCTTGAAGAAGTTACTCTTGAGCCTAGCCATCTCCGATCTTGCTGTTGGAGTGCTTCTACAACCGATGTACGGCATTATCATCGCGTTGCAGTTGAATATGGTAGACAGTCAGTTCCTGTGCCCTACTGTACTGACGGTACATATATTTATTACGGTTTTGCTGGCGGCAGCGTCTTTTCTAACCATCGCTGCTATTGCACTTGATAGACTTCTCGCCGTCTCGTTGCATTTGAGATATCAGGAACTTGTGACGCCCAAACGCGCTGAAACTGTCATGGTTCTTCTGTGGTTATCGGCTGCTGTTGGCGCTTCCTTGTTTATCTCTGTCTCCAGTCACAATGTCTTGGTAGCTGTTATTACTGAAGTTGTCGGGTTTGCTGTTACCACCGTTGCCTATTTCCGTATTTACAAAGTTGTGCGCTATCATCAAAATCAGATCCAAAGTCAATGTCAGGTCCAAAACGAACACGCAGTGGAAGAAGTCAGGGTGAAGAAGTCAGCCTTGAATACCTTGTACGTTTATGTTGTCTTCCTTGCTTGTTACCTTCCATTGTTATTTTCAAGTATTCTGCTGTTGGTGGATAACTTTAAAATATCATTCCTTGTGGCTTATAACGCCTCGGGCTTTTTAGTTTTCCTCAATTCTTCTTTAAATCCTTTCGTCTATTGCTGGAGATATCGCGAGATTCGTCAAATTGTGAAAAATACATTCAGGGGAAAATGCTTGCCCAATGAACCTCCTGATCTCACTTCAGATGGAATAAGGATGTAATTAAATACGACGGAAATCGAAATGTCGGATGTCAGTTTCAGGAAAACTACGAACACATTGTTCGCTACAAGTTGATTTCAGAATTCTTCCAAATCCGAGATCATCCTGATTTTCGCGAGCGTCTTTCAAGCGAAAGAAACCGAGTCTGAGAAGTATCTTCTCTGAAAACAGTAAAACGGCTTCCGTTTTCAAAAGTATAGTTCGAAACATGGAGCAGAACAACGAAAATTGAGGGTTCGCCTAATTATCATTTGTTATTGTAGCTATACTATTTATACACGGTATCTACTTAATACAGGTTCACATAGAAACATAATTATTCGCTAAAGGTGAAGTAAATGATGGTAAATATTTCACAATGACAACAGTGACACTTGATTCACCAGTTAACAAGGAATTTCTTAGCTTACCTTGTAGTCTCTAATTTCCTACTATTCCTACCCGAAAGAATTTTCTTCTGGACACTGATAGCAACCACAGTCAAGCGCAACGTGCCTGCGCAGTTCCCATCAAAACTGCCACTCACAAACTTCTCAACTTTTCGACAGTTTGAAGCCAAAAGTTAAGACAGTCACTTCTAAGTTAAGCTTTATGTGGGGTTTTACGAAACAATAGGCCGCTTCACAGGCTAGGTTTTTCACTAGCCGCTGGTCACTTTCTTCAATCTCTCCAGTTCCAATATTGCATGGATGACAATGCTCTTCTCGTCTGAGAGTGGTTTTGTTGGCATGACGCCATTTTGCGCGTGCACTTGACTCGAACGACCACCTGCTCACGCACACCGAGAAAGCAATTGTAGCACTTTGGAGTGATGAAAACAAAAATCAGTATTTGAGGAACGACGATATGGAAGAAAACTTATCTGAAATTACCTGGTTAAATTTTTGTGGCAGAAACGGAAGCAAGGTTCGAATTCGTGCCTTTTGAAACAAAACTGTTTCATTCCCAAAACTGAATCGAATTGAACGTGCATGGTGCTGTTCTTGAAGCGATAGCCTGAACTGCTGTCGAATCCCCGCCATAAGGCCATGTTTACACCTCACCACTCTCGGTAATCGTGGTACTACATTTGTATAGTTGTATAAATAAAATCTTTCCAGATCATGATTTATTTTAGCCGCTATTTGAATTTAGGATTTTTAATTTTGTGCCACTGTATAAATCAGTTAGATTAAAACTTAGTTTTTAATTAGATTTTTTAAATTCGGTCCCTGGTTTTAATTATAGCTGGTTAATGTGTACTGTGTAGTTTTGTGTCTTCGAAGGAGCTACTTCCATCAGACACATTGATAACTTATTGTTATGCCCCACACAGTGTCTAGAACCATTCAGTAAAACGTAACCATAGTGCATGAACTGCTGTCGTTGCTTAGCGCTCACCAAACATCCACAATTTAATCATCCATGTTATATTAAAACGAAACGTTAATAAATGCGGGCGTGCAATGCTTTGTTTAGCGACGTCGCTAAATTAAATTATTTCGCCCATTATATACAGCTGTTTCGAGAAAGGTCCTGCAGAAGGGCGGCGTTTTGTTTTTTTGGTTTCATGTATACGTTGCGATGAATATAAATACTTTTCGTGTTGTTAAGCAGCGTTTTTTTTTTCACCTTCTCTCGGTTTAAGGATGTTACCGCAAAGAAGTTCTTGCGGAGGGAACAGCTTACCGCAAAGAAGTTTTTGCGGTTTTAATTTCAAACCGCAGAGAAGTTCTTACGCCTGCTTAATTTTAGCGCCAACGTCCCGAAGTTTCCGGCTTGCGGACGCAAGGAGGAAGTTCTTGCGCGTGCCTTATCTTTGGGCTGTGCTATACGTAATTATGCCGAAAAGTAAAATGACTAATGACAGTTACTGTTTTTTTGTTTTTGTTTTTTTTTTTGATTGGACGGAAACACACGGTGCTTGAAAGCGAAGCCATACATATGTCCCCTCCTTGTCCCCTTTGTGCATCTCCTAAAGCACACTCAATAGTAAAGCATCCAAACTTCGGCTTCAAATTTGGTTCAAAAACATCAAAATATAGAATACACGAACTGTAGCGAGTTTTGAACAAAAAATAACTCTTTCATTTCTAAAATCTAACTAAAATGTAGGCTATTTGATGAAACACCCTATAGGAATAGAAGGGCCTTCGAAAATTCAAGTCCCTTGACCAAGCTATTGACACACCAAAATGAAACGTTTGACGTGCCTACCACTTAGTGCTACTTTGGACAAGTGCATTCTCGCCCCCAGGTGCGGCGATCGTTTTGGTCAGCGCCAAGAATCGCGAATTCTGATTGGGTCCAACACCAGAAGTCCTTGATTCTTGAACTTCCCGTCAAATCTCACAACTCTGATTAGCTGCAACCTCGTACCCAGAGTCTTCGTTCCACCTGACCAGCGGTCGGGAAACGAGAGACCCTGAAGATCCGATTTGAAGTCTGAAAATATCGGACTTCCGTTAAATTGCAGTTGTCCAGCTGAAAAACACGTGGCTCAATCGAGGCGTTGGTGTTTTACTTCCGCTCATTTCCATTGTTTTTAAAACCAATCAAAATCGAGCCTGTTACGGGCTTGTCAAGAGTAGCTCGTTTCTTCAAGCTTGCGCAGTAAGAAACGAAGACTCGAGAAACGAGATTGGATGAGCTGAGAATACAAAACGAGTGCTTGCGCATGTTCATAAAATCAGGTCTGGCCAGAAGTCGCGATTCTTCGTGCAAACTAAAAGGATTGAGCCGGGAGAGCCAATTGAGCCGGTCAAGAGGGAAAACATTTTCACATATAAACACTCGATGTAAAAGATGGGTAGAGAGTGAATCGCCTAACAGGGACAACGCTTAGCCAAATGAATAAGCCCTTACGGGTTTCCTCAAAGAACAAATTTAGAAACGAAAATTTAAACTAAAGTCAAATGCAAATTTGATTTGTTCAGCTTTAATTAAGCAAACAACCCAGTACGTGATCTTTAATTAACGGCGTTCAATTTAGATGTTTATTTTGTTTTAATTCCGCTCGGAAGTGATTAATTCCGTGAAATTAAGTTTTATTTAACTATAATTAACAGACTTTTCATGATTAAAGCGTAACCGGTTTGTTATAAAATGTGACGTTTTCCTTGAGCTATGAGGTTGTTTTACTTCACTAAGCGGAAGGAAGAAGTAAGGAAGAAGGAAGTCGAGAAAAAAGGAACCAAAAACATTTTAACAGTAACAAGAACAGCAAAGCTAAAGCAAACATTTCTCCATGGCAGGTAATCATTTATTTAGGTCTATGTCAACTTACTAAGAGCACACAATATTGGTTTTCGATTCTATTCTTTCGAAATGTAACGATAACATGGAGGCGACCAAACAAAATCTCAAACAAACGAAAATATTGGTGACCTTCAACTTCAATTTTAGCATCGCAAAATTTCTACCGCTCTGTAAGTTGAAAATGTATTTATTTTCATTATGTAGATGAAATCCTTTTTCATGGTAGCCTTTAATTCGGAAGCTCTTGTGTTACCGTTTACTTTGTTTGTTTTTTTTTTCTTTACTTATAAAAAGAATAGGAACGGATATTAACAGAGTACTCTAGGGCCGTTGTGTAATTAAATAGTTTTTTGAAATATATAACAAAAGAGAAAAGCCTACGAACCTTGACATAATGCAAGGCGTTTACAATTTGAAAACTGAGAGTAAAAGTATGTATGTTGTCCAAGACTGTTTTAGTTGCCCATTTTTTGTTTAAATTTTTGTCTTATATGGCAGAGACTTTGTGAAATTTGCTGGCCATTCAATTTTATACTGAAATGCCCAAGCTGAGGTAG